ATTGGTTCTGCTCTCAAAAAGCTGCTTTAAACAAAACTGTTTCTTTGGTTTTATCTTAAAACTGTTGAAAACAAATCTGGAATGAAAGAATCATAAAAAGTTTAATTTTAAGGAGAACTTTCTAGCATTCACAAACAAATTAAGTAGAATAAAGTTATGATGTTCTATAGCAGGGGTCTTCAAAGTTTTCCAGGCCAAGGACCCCCAAACTGATGGCGAGATGGAGCAGGGACCGCCTAATTATATATATATATATATATATAGTATGAAATTGTGTTATATCAAACTGGTTTTATAGTCACTCTATTACAGATGGAGTCATGTAATGAAAGGGGGATTATTAAAGTATTTTTGATTCTGATTCCTGGTTGATGGGACAGATGTTGTGAATGAAATGGTGCCCAGATTGAAAGAGCTCCTGTGTGTCGCTGAATGTGTGCATTGATGACTGAAAGACATCTTCTGCCTCCATTTATCTTACTACATTCATGTTAATGTTTATTTAAAAACATTTCAATTATTGGAAATAATTGCAGGGGGGAATATAAAAAGTCTATTCAACCAAAACTTCCGCGACTCCCATGCAGTACCTCCTCAGACCCCCTAGGGGTCGCGTACCCCCTGTTTGCGGCCTCCGTTCTATAGCGTCTCATTCAAATGTATTCACACCTCCTAATCCTTATAAGAAAGTTTCATGTCCCTAGTAACTATAGATCTGTTGCTCTGACATCACACACCGTCAGGGTCCTGATCAACCAATCACCTTTCAGGACAACTGTGAAGCTGATGGTGCCATGACACACCTGCATTTACAGGCTGTCATCCTGAAAAAGCAGGAGGCCCTGGGGACAGCCATCTTGGATTCCTCCACTGAGTTTAATACAGTTCAGTCTGATTTATGATGTCAGAATCAACAGAAAACACCAAAGGAGATCAGTGAATAGCTAAACAGAACGCAGCTTAAGAAACTAAAGGGTCATGAAGTCCCAGTAGGCAGCAGCGGAGGAGAACCACAGGGGGCCGTACCCTCACCACTACTTTTCCCCCTCTATGCATCATACCTACACTAACAACCATGATCATTTGCAAACAGNCCTAGGGGTCGCGTACCCCCTGTTTGCGGCCTCCGTTCTATAGCGTCTCATTCAAATGTATTCACACCTCCTAATCCTTATAAGAAAGTTTCATGTCCCTAGTAACTATAGATCTGTTGCTCTGACATCACACACCGTCAGGGTCCTGATCAAGGACAACTATGAAGCTGATGGCGCCATGAGACACCTGCATTAACAGGCTGTCATCCTGAAAAAGCAGGAGGCCCTGGGGACAGCCATCTTGGATTCCTCCACTGAGTTTAATACAGTTCAGTCTGATTTATGATGTCAGAATCAACAGAAAACACCAAAGGAGATCAGTGAATAGCTAAACAGAACGCAGCTTAAGAAACTAAAGGGTCATGAAGTCCCAGTAGGCAGCAGCGGAGGAGAACCACAGGGGGCCGTACCCTCACCACTACTTTTCCCCCTCTATGCATCATACCTACACTAACAACCATGATCATTTGCAAACAGATGACTGATCACTGTGGGACAAAACGCCGAGAACATTTGGAACACTTGGTTACATGTAGCGGGGATAAAAAGTTCTGATCTTAAATATGAAGAGAAAGAAAAAGTAGACAAGAAGAGACAAAGCAGACTGTAGTCCTTAAGGAACTTTAACTTCTTTAGTGTTTAAAACAAGAAGTCCCAGATCTCCTATAATCTCCTGTGGAGTGTAATCACTGCTCTTGTCATCCGGTGGGGCAGCAGCATCACAGCCAGTGACTTTAAAGGCTGGAGAAACTGATAGAGGACGTCCTAGGGCGTACTGTGGAAAAAGAAGGACATCATGGATAACCCTGAAAGTCCTCTTTAAAAGATTGTGAAAACTATTTCAAAAGCAGAAAGTATGGTGTGCTGCTGCTGTTTTCTGGTCCTTTCATCTCCATTGCCTTTAACCAATGTCCCTGTCACTGCAGATAGAAAGCATGCCACCAGCATGACACTGTCACCAAGAGCTTCCTCCATACATCCCTCTATAGATGGCGGTAAAACACAAACGGGACCTTTTGTTGCTTTCTTCTTGCCCCTCTTCCAAACAGCTGTGCTTTGTAGAGCTGGCCACCTAGCAGTTCTCCTGTCAATAGATGTGCTGATCTCAGCTGCAGCTCCTCCAGTTACCAGTAACTTCTGGGCTGCCCCTCACCTCACCTAGACGCAAATCTGCACCATATTCTATGTCACAGATATATTGCATAAGTGTAAGTTACACATTTTAGCATTTACAAAAAATAAAGGCTTTAATTTTCCTTCCAACTCACATTTATTTATTTAACTACTTCATCTCAGTGCCTCACAAACATCTTTAAAATGCACCAAAGTATTCACAAAAAGTCTTGGTTTATGAATCTAAGAGGTTTGAACACATTTCCGAAACACAGCTAGTTATTAGAGATATGTGCAAAAACCACGTGATCACAAATGGAAATGATTTGGTGGGTTAGACTTTGCTGTTAATAAGCAGTGAGGGAGTGTTTACAACCAGGGACAGGTGTTTGCACAGGTGGCCTCCCAAAAGCCGGAAGTGAACACCACATATAGTGGTTATAAAAGTATATTTTCAAACATCCCATTATTGGAATAAACGTAATTCTCATTTATTATATAGAAAGTCACAAATCATATAAAAATAATTATCTTAGCAACACTTTTTCAGTGTGGAACATTATGCCACATGTACAAAAAAAAAAGAGGATTAAAGAAATAAACACTTAGCAAAAGCATTTGTCAGAACCTTTGAGTTTTTGCATATTTCACAACAGCTATAAATGTGCTGTTGTGAAAAAGGATAACTGTCAGACTGGATGTGCAAGTGGGAGGGGGTGACACCATGTTGCCATGATTTAGCAAACACTTGACTGTTAGCTAGCTATAACCTGCTCTTTGCAGCTTTAATTATCCTTATTAAAGAAACCGGCAGTTTTATAACATTTTAACGCCAAATTAAACAGCTCCGACATTGAAAGTACAACAAAAACCTGTTAGCAGATGCTAACTTAGAAGATATTGAAGCAGTTGGCTATGCTAACATGATAATGCAGCTCTGCTCAGCAGTGTTAGCTAATGAGACTAGCCTGTTAATAATATACAGCGGTGTCTTTGCTGCTTCCCTATGTCCCGCTTTTGGACTTAGCGTTAGCAGCAACCTTTAGCTGATGACCGTTAAAGCTAATGCAACCCTAGAGCAGCGGCTAGCGGGCTAGCTAAGTTTCTCGTGACCAGTGAAATACGATAAATGGGCTAGCAAGTGGCAACGTTAGCTGGTCAGATTACATAACAAAATCCCTGCCAGACAGGCTCAGACAACATCCTCCATGTCTGCAGCCAGGAGCCCTGATACTACCCACCTCCACTTGTGCCTCTAGCTTGCCGTCAAACGTGAAGTCGATCAGGTCCGGCCTCAGACATAAGCCGTAGTTGACAGGGTAAACGTCAGTAGGTAACCGCACGAAGGGCCTTCTTTCGGGCATGGTTCCTGTATTTTGGCCGCTTGCGCTACTGAAGAGGGAAATGTGTGGAGCTCCGTTTATTTGTCCGAGCTTTATCAACACGGAACTGATCCAACTGGGCTTCGGTAGCGCGGATGGACAGGAGGTGACTGTACGGGTGAGAAGCAGCGGAACCGAGCGCCCCAGGAGCAGCAACATGGACTGAAGCCCTTTCAACACTACTCTTCGCTGCTGCACAGCCCAAACAACTTCACTCAATCAGCGTCGACTTCAACGGAGGCGACGTCATCACGCTTCGACCTACGTGCTGAACGTGTGTGTGGAAGAGGCAGTGGAGTAAACAGACTTTATTTATTTATTCATTCACACATGGGGCTTTATCTGGAGGAGGATAGATTTAAAATAGTAAATCTAGACTTAGACTAACTCAAAAATTATACAATTTTTTACTGATTTTAAAATTTTATTTCAATGTAGCATGAGAAAAAAGTCATAATTCTGACTTTAATCTCATAATTCTGACTTTAATCTCACAATTCTGACTTTAATCACAGAATTCCGACTTTTTTCCTCAGAATTCTGACCTTAATCTCAGAATTCTGACTTTTTTTCCACAATTCTGATTCTAGTCCTAGAATTCTGACTTTAATCTGTGAATTCTGAATTTAATCTCAGGATTCTGACTTTTTTCCTCACAATTCTGACTTTAATCTCAGAATTCTGACTTTTTTCCTCACAATTCTGACTTTAATCTCAGAATTCTGACTTTTTTCCTTCACAATTCTGACTTTAATCTCAGAATTCTGACTTTAAGAGACACTTTTGTGAAAAAAAGTCAGAATTCTGAGAAAAAGTCAGAATTCTGACTTTTTTTCACAATTCTGACTTTAATCCTAGAATTCCGACTTTTTCCACACAAATTTGGCTTTAACCTCAGAATTCCGACTTTAACCTCAGAATTCTGTCTGAATTCTGACAGCTAACAGACACGTTAGCATCAAGCTGTAGCCATGTCTGTTTTATAGACTAGCTCTCTTGTTTTAATTACCTTTTGCTCTTCCATTAATGAAATAGCATCACCAGGGACCCCTCGGGCATGTAAATAGTCGCCTAATTCTGTCATTTTCCACCAAGGTGTTACTGGCCCTCCCAAACAACTCACATCTTTGTCAGTGAAGCTGAGTGCTCCACATCTCTTCCTTCATGGTGACCATCTACATTAAGATCCAAAATTCTAAGATTAAGTCAGAATTCTGACTTTTTTCCTATATTAAACTGAAATAATATTTAAAAAATCAGTTAACTTTTTTTATGTTTCAATCCTCTTCTGTAGTTTTAGCAGGATTGTATGTTGAATAAATTTTTACTTTGAATAGTTCCATAACGCTAACATTAGGTCTAATTTTGTAGAATATTTAGTGATCGTTCACAATTTTCATAATCTTTTGTGTTTAAAACTTTGGAGGTCAAGCTTGTGTTCACTTTTTTAAATGATGACTATTTATCTACATACATTATCATACATTTTACTGTACTTGGGAATTAAAATTTTTCAATCAGTTGTTTTATTTTATGATTTTTTTTTTTCTCCATTTTAACATGTTTAATGTTAAAATGTATAGCACAACAGTCTTTTTAGGGTTACGAAAATAATTTGTTTTGTACATGTATTAAAATGTACCCCTTAAAAGATACAATGTAAATGTTATAGCAATGGACTGGTAAAAAACAGAAAGGGTCATCAATGTAACAAAACATATATCACTATACATGTCCAGTTTGACCTGTTCCTGTTTTAGCATTTTTTTCACAGATGATTAAAATAAAATGATTATCAGTTATGTCCCAACATGTACATGTGTATTTATTCTCTTTTTTATAAATTTAAAATAGTAAATTTAGACTTAGACTAACTTTATTGTCATTTTGTATGCACAGAGTGAACACAAAACAAAATTTCATTAAACACTCGTTAGATACAGCTTTCTAACAGTAAATGAGCAGCAGCTTAGCAGTTAAAATGAACATTTCCATTCATAAAGTGCAGCATTTATCAAATGTAAACAGTGTAGGGGATACATGGTGCAAAAAGGGAGTGATGTGGAAGATCAGAGCAGCGCAAAAATACATGAATATAAATATAAATTTAAACTAAACTTATACAATATCATTATTATTCACTAATAAAAATAAAATTTCATCCTTGTAAACTATCTGCCAAGATGTTTGATTTTATATTTTCTTGCCTGTCTTGTAAGATGATAAAATGTAAGAATTTAATATGTATCTTTGATAGTGATTGCATGTTTTTGTTATTTGCAAACTGAAATTAAATCCACACCAAATTAAAACTGCTATTTACTGCCCTATTTATTTTACTTTATTTGTTATTATTAATTTTTTTTTTCCGGTTGCATAACTCCTCAAACATGCCTGATTTTTGGATGTATATATAAAAACGCATTTGTTTATATCACGAAATGTATTTATATTGACATGACAAAATTGTTGTGCTTTTATTGTTTGTTGTTTTTTATTGAGATGTTTGTTAAACAGTTTTTATGTTATTCATGCATGTTTACGTAGTACGTTTACAGTATTTATTTTCTCCTAAAGCAGACGGACACTTCTTTAAATGTCTAATAATTTGAAATGTTGAGCTTTTGAAAGTTTTATTCCGGAAGTTATTTTCCTCCTTCCGGGCCAATGACAACGGGCAAGATGGCGGCATCCATAACGAGGACGTTTGGGGTTCTTCGTAACGCTTCATGCAGCAGTTTAAAGGTACTGTGACATTAAATGATGTTTTATTAATAAAGTTGGCACATTTAGCAACAGTTTCCATAATTCTTCTTGTTTATAAACAGCGAATAGAGGCTGACAGGGAAGACTGTTGGCTTTAAAGGCTTCACACATCATGAGCCTCCAAGCATCAACATGGAAAGCTCACATAGAATCAAGATTTTGGTTTGAAAACTATAAACCTAGATGTTAATTGGCCCCCCATAGAACATGTCATTATAAAGCTAGAGCCAAAATGGCAGCTTCAATAATTCCAGGGTACATTCACTGGGACTGGATTTTAAGTTGTTTTGGCTGTCAAGGTTTCCATGTTTTTCACTGCAACTATCCTCCATAGCTCCCATTCCACTTCAGAATAGATTGTACACTGAAAAAAGACTAAAACATCTGTTTCTCCCACTCTGCTGTTTCTGATTGATCTCCTTATTGATGATCCTCAGTGATCAGTTCTGGTTCTTTTCTTTTCTAAACAAACACAACTAATCAGCAGGACAAGCTTTACCTCTGATTCATAAAGCAAGTAGCTCATAGATGCTTTAACATCCATAAGGTTTGTCTTTACGCTAATGTGTTTTCTGACCGGTCTGAGGTCCAGTCATTTAGCTTCAGGAGGAAGAGGTGGTGGTTCTAGTTGCTCCTCAGCCTCACCGGCTGCAGCAGGTCAGTCAGCTGACAGGTGGAGGTCAGCACTGTGAGCATCAAAGGATTTCATGACAACAGACTGGAAACAGGAACTCATTATTCCTTCTCCTTACAAACTGCTAGGTAGGAAGCAGTTTCATCACAGAAAGATTTGTGGGCGTTAGCTTAGTTGAGGTTTTCTCTACAGATAAACAAACGGGTAAGGCTGCAGCACAGCCCTCGCCTCTTGGCCCCAGTGCTCTTACCTTTTAAAATAAAACCTAACATAACAATCATCATTACTTGTCCTTTTTATCCTGTTTTGCATCATATTCTGTGAGCCATCACCTGTCTGCTGTGTACTAACCCTAACTTCACGCTTGTCTCGTACTTAAACCTAAGCTTTGAGTCAAACTTTAAAACATCTCTTGAAACAACGTTCCTATGTTTCCTTTTTTTTTTTTCATTAACACCAATTACATGGTAGAGAAGAAGTTAAAACCAAACATTTGACCACCTACAAGAAGGAAAAGTTATGATATGTAAGAGAATGGGAATATGGTCAGTAATTTTAAGATTTAACAATGAAAATTTAATCTGTACATATCAGAATTACTATTACAGATATATATAGCATGTGATTTGGACTCCTAGTAATGTCATTATGACTAATGTGAATTTTATTTAAGATCTCTCTAATCCAATTATGACAAAACAGAACAAATATCAGATATAACATAATTGTTATGAGTCAAAACTAAGGGAACAGTCAAAATCTATTTACAGATGTTTTGAATCAGAGTTTGGTTTCAGGAGAATTTGTTTGCAGTGATCAGTGATAAATAGCAATTCTACCTATTAAATGTTAAAACAGCTTTCCATAGCACTGCATAAAGTAGGTCTATGGGTTCTATGATATATGTGTAAGATGGCTCAGTGCTGGTGGAGTTAAACAGTGGCTGTTACAGTTTAAATGGTTCTTTGATTCAAACAGAACATGCTCTCATCATCATCATCATCATCATCATTAACTGGTTCTTCAGTAAATTGAATAAAACAGTCACTGTTTTCCAACTTTAATCTCTTTAAGCTAGTTTTATAGAATAATTTTAAAATTATTCTCTGGTCTGAAGATTTTTTTTATCTTCCCTCCCTCAGAATTCAGAGTTGGTTCTGGATATACGGCATCCTGGCCCGCTTTTCTTGCCCGTTCGGACCAAGAAGAGGTACTTTATCCCCCCCGCAGTGGGTTTGAAGGGGAAGAAGGAGGAAAACCCAGAGGTGAAGGCCCGGGCAGCGGGGATCGTCTTCAGACAGCAGTACTTTGAGAGACCCATCAACATCGCCTGCTCAGGTAAACTTAGCGAATGTGTGACCTGACCGCTCTGTGGAAAACGTTTTATTATTGAACATCTCATCTTGTTGTCCATGCTACCGTTGTTCTCCTTAGCGGGGGTGTTTGACCCATACGTCCCTCCAGAAGGAGACGCCCGTCTCTCCTCTCTGTCCAAAGAAGGCCTGAAACAGCGAACGGAACAGCTACGACAGAGCGCCGCCTCGCAGCTGGCGTAAGACCTGCTGCTGATGCTTTCTACTCCAGCGTGAGTCGATGTTTATAGAAAATGGTTTGGATCAAACTAAGAATTCCCATCTTGTTTCAGGATTCGTAAAATCAAAGAGCACGACTCGCAGTTCAGCACCAAGACGTTCGCAGAGCAAGCTCAAGAGATCTTCATAGAGGCTCACGACGCCCTGACACAGTAAGGAGATGAACTCTCCCCTCCTTCCCCCACACAGGCAGCTGATACACGCTCAGGCAGAATCATACCTTTATGACACAGAGGGGTGTGTTCGAAGCTGGAGGTTTACTCCCGCTGCTCTCAGATCTGCTGATAAACATTGTTGATAGCGTCATAATAAACAAAGATAAACAGTTTATAAGGACCATTCTGGGTCAGTGACTCTGTTTGCCTTCAGCTGCAATGTTTTCCTGTACATTTCCACTTGTTTTCATGTGGGACATGCAGCAGCTGCAGAGCCTCTCCCTCACCTGCAGGAGTGCTGTAGGTCTGAGTCAGAGCAGCAGCACCATATTCTCACTGCAAGCTGGAATGTTATTGGCTTCATGGGGATTAGTTCATCTGGTCTATTTAATTAGAATTTTAAAAAGCTATTATTTTTACTAGTGATTAAATAAAAAAATTCCTTTTTTGTTATGTGATACAGTAAGGCAGTGGTTGTTTAGTGGGGCTGTCTGCTCAAGAAGCCAGGCTGCAGGAACCTGGGAGCTTTCCAGCAGTAAATCAGGGTTGCTTTTAAAATGTTGGAAGTATTTCATGCTAGGAGTGTTTCCAAACTGTGGATGTATCCATCTAAGAAAGGAAAGTTGTTTTGATTCTGCAGCCAGCTGACCAGCAGTGGCAGCAACATGCTGGGGGAATGATTTTAGTTGCTTTCTAGGACTTCCTCTGGCATCTTGGTGAAATATTTCCAAGCTGCAGGAAGGAAAGAAAATGATGAAACTTTTTAAAGGCCATATCTCAGCACTGGGAAGCTGCCTTCCATGTAGTTTAAATGCAGGATAATCAGGTTCCACTCACTCTCTTCTACTCTGCAGTCTAAATTAATGCATTTTTATTTTCTGTATCAATCTTACATTATTTTTGACTTTGCCCTGATTAAAAAAAGAGAAAATTGGTTTATTTTTTCCTTCAATAATTTCCTTCAGTAAAATTATAACAAAAAATGGAGATCAGTTATTTTAAATGTGCACTTTCTATGGAGCTACATCAGTGACAGCTTGCATTGGCATCGAATGTGAGATTTGGGAACACTAAACCTGGTGTGCCAATAAAACACTGAACCAGATCACTGAGCAGCGCTCGGCTTACAGCAGTAATGATGAATGCCACTGCCTCTTCTGTTGAGACAGAACAGTGGATTCCTCCATCTCTCTGTTATTATCTCTTTAGTGAAGGGAGCCGACAGTAACCTGACCCCATCATGAAAGGAAAAAACAGCACAGCCATTAGCAGCTGCCTGCAAAGCTGCCACTGAGACACTTTAAAAACCATCAGGATGTCTGCTAGAAGCCACATGAGGATGAACCCATCAGATTGGATCACCCGTCCTGCAGTGTGGCTGTAGCATTACTGAATGTTTTTGGATGGGCTGAAGTGTCAGCGGTGTTGGTCCTGTTCTTTATTGTTGGTGTTAAACTGAAGGAAATCAATGTCTCTGGTTTTCTTATTTGGGTAACACTTTCTTTTGCAGTATATAAATAACCATGTAATGACATGGTAATAACAAGTTACACTATTATACTTGGTAACAAGAAAAACATGATGTGGTAATTACCCCAAAATCAAGGTACAGTATATTCTTTCAAATTAATTACCTGCATGTAATTATTACAATTGTTTGTTACAATATCACAATGGCGACCTTTGGTGGGTATTTACCATTATGTTACCGCATAACAGCAAATTGTAACTTATGATAATATATAAGGTAACTAAAGCATTAAAAGACTGAAAAAGTTCATATAACTTAGAGTTTAGTTAAAAAGATTGGTTTGCTGTCTTCTAGGTTTGGTTTTTTTGTTATATTCAATTCAATTCAGTTTATTTCTATAGCGCCAATTTACAACACTTCATCTCAAGGACTGTACAGTTCACCAGATCATCCAGTCAGATTGATTCAAAGTTTTCTATCTAAGGAAAACCAGCTGATTGCATCGACTCATTGACTGTCCAATAATCCCTCACACTGAGCATGCTTACAGCGACAGTGGAAACCTCCAGCAGAACCAGGCTCAGTGTGAGCGGCCATCTGCTGAGGCCGACTGGGGTTCAAGGAGACAGAAGCAGACATAGAAAAAGAAGCATAGATTCAAAAGGCAACTGTCAACCAGCTGTATAGGCGGCCCCATCCAGGAAACACACAGCCAGGCAGACGAGCTCCGAGCCAGCTCCCATGTCAGAGGATGAAGAGAGCACATCCAGTTAGTCACAGTCAGAGAAACAGGACTACACTGAAAAACAGGCCGAGCTCCAACATCTATAAACAAAGGTGTTGATGGCAGCAGCACAGCTGATATTTCTCTCCAGGATGGAGTCACAGCCAAACAGGAACAGACCAGATGAAGCTACTATGAGAAAAAGCAGAGAGAGCAGAACGTTAGAGATTGAACTAACAGATTCTGCAGAGTGGGAGAATAGAGAGAGAATGAAGCAGAATGATGAAAAAGGTCCAAGTAACATATGCCAAGTAATAAATAGCATTTTACTAGATACTGTAAAAACAGGTTAATTTATTGCTGTAAATAAAATTATATGAGTTACCTGGCAATAAGTGTAACTATAAGTGATATAGTGTAAGTTGTTATGTTATTACCATGTTATTACATGGTTATAGATGTACTGTAAAAGGAAGCATTGCCGTTATTGCCATAGATATTTGATAAATCATTTTAGAAAACTGGGAACCAGTAAGAACGACTGATGGCTCCTTCTTCTATCTTGGCTCCATTCAAACCAGCCGTTCTCTGGTCTCTATCAGGACGTTTGGATTTGATGACGTTTGTTTTTGTTTTGCAGCTTCAATAAGGAGAGGCTTCATTCTCTGGTCACAGAAAGATGTTACCCTGTAAGTTCTTCCTCTTCTTGTAAAATCATCCTTCAGTCCTCACCTCGTTGTCCTAACTGCTGCCGTCTCTGCCGCTGTGTCTTCAGGAAATGACGAGAGGAAACCGCTACAAGACGATCCGCTGGAAGTTCGTGGAGTCTCTGGAACCGCCCAGGGTGGTGCACGCCCGCTGCCCTGACATGGTCACTAAAGGGAACCTGTACGGGCAGGTGACGGTCCGCATGCACTCCAAGCAGGTAAGACTTTAAACTAGCAGTGATGCACCCCGTTATTATACGGGCCAACAAACAGCTGCTTAAAGTGAAGTTAATTCCCTAGAGGTATGACTACTGGACAGGGTTCTGCTGGTTCTGATCATGTTGATCTGTTGGTAGACTTTAGCCATCTATGACCGCTTCGGGAGGCTGATGCTGGGCAGCGAGGAGCAGCCGAAGGACGTCCTGGAGTACCTGGTCATTGAGCGGCACCTGATCAACCCCTACAGCAGGTGGAGGCTCCATGGGAAAATCGTTCCCTCGTGGGCTCCGCCCAAAGACCCAGTTATTAAGGTAACAAACACTCTAGTTTTTTACTGGAAACTTTATTTAAAGCATAAATGTATAGTGTGGGTTTTTCAAAAGAGTTCTACACCAGTGGCTCTCTCTGGCTAAATTATGGTCCCTCATTGATTTATTATATTTAATTTCTGTGTATTACACAAAAAAGGATCATAGGACCACATGACTGGATGTGCAACATGGTGTATGAAAGTAACAAGTAAACAAAATAAATAAAAATATTAAGATTAGATTTGTGTGGAAAA